GTTCTGCATTCATGTTAAGATATTCATATTCATTATACATATGTTTATATTCAGTTCACAACATTCTAAAAATAGCTTAAAAAGCTTTCGAAATTAAAGAAAAGTCTAAAATAATCTAACCAAAGCCAGTCATAATCCATATAATCTTAATAGAAAATAAAGTCCTTTGAAATTTACTAATCAAAATTTGCTTAAACATCTTAAGACCAGCTTAAGCAAACTCAGATGTCTCTTATCATCTTATCTAAGACTTCACTTAATCCCCAAGCTCAGTTGCTTCAACTCGAATCGACATGGATTTCAATAGATTTCCCGGCGTCACCTTCAGTCTGGGGCCATCATTAGTGTAAATCTAAATAATATCGTTACAATAGTGCCCTATATAGTGCTACAAGAGTAGGCTGATAGTTGGCCTCGCCATTGAATGGATTCCCCAGCAGAATCTCTGACTGATCCGCGCTGAGTAATTAACGGCACTCGAACCGAGTCGACGAAACCCAGATGCCTTACGTGCTGTGCACTGTGCTAAGGTATTTGAAAATTGCGAGCTCTGCTCATCCGGTTCCCGTTTTCTAGCCTTGACATCGTTTTTGGCCAAGACGGATTTGCGGGGCCAATTGGGTCGCTGGAGATGGCTAATAAGWAGAAAGAACAACAACAACAATCACAACAACAGCAACGACAACAAAAAAAGTGAAATTTGTTACACTTGGCGCAGTTTTCTTTTGTTGCTTGCCATTGCCATTGCTGTTGTTGTTGTTGTTGTTACTGTTGTTGTTGGCTTTCCTTATGCAATTGAATCGCTAGTCGCATCCGCCATTCGCCAACAACAGTTGCCAATTGGCAATTGGCATGCGACATGTGACTCTGCTCCCATTGTACTTAGTTGAAATTCTTGCCGAGACTGTGTCTATCTGTCTCCGTGTCTGTGTGTGTCTCTGTGTGTGTGTTTGTGTGGAGCTCATTAAAGCAAGCTAGCAACATTGTTGCTTCTTCTTCTACTACTGCTACTAATACTACTGCTGTTCTTCTTCTTGTGCTCTTGTGACCCATTTTCTTGTTTGTTTTGCACAGCTCGCCTTGATATGCGCGGATGAGGTCGAGGTGGTGAAGGCGATCTCTGGCGGCGGCGGCAACGATGAGCTCTCCCTTGGCCTGAACGAGCAAGACAATGAGGTGGACCAAATGGCGCTCGAATCGGAACAGGAATTGCAGCAGCAGCAGCAGCAACAGCAACAACAGCAACAGCAACAGCAGCAGCAACACCAACACCAACAACACCAACAACAGCAGCAACACCAGCAGCAGCAACAGCAACAACAGCAGCAGCAGCAACAACTCCAACAACAGCAATCCGTTTCCATGCCCAAGGTGCAGGTGCATTACCCCCACAATGGTCTGCCACAGGCGCCACCTGGACTCAGCCTGAGCCTCGGCCTGGGCCCGGCCCGCAGTAAGTTGTTGTCCACATCCGCTTTGGCTGTAGCGTAAATCCCCTTTCGTCCCACAGGCAACAATCATCAGAACATCCCGATGAGCTTTGGCCAGCCCTTCGGACCGCCACCGCCGCCCGGCGCCCAGTTCTACAAGGGACCACCGCCGCCGGCACCGCAGCGACCACTGGCCCTGCCCCCCTCACAGCAGCAGCAGGTGCAACAGGTGCAGGTGCAGCAGGTGCCATCGCTGGCCGATCTCAGCGTGGGCGCCTCCAGCAACAATGAGATCTGGGCCTCGCCCGTCCAGGACATGCCCAAGATCGTCTCGCTGGACGTGAAGTGCGAGAAGAACGGCATGAAGGTGTTTGTCCAATTCGATAAGCCCTTCAATGGCATCGTCTTCTCCAAGGGGCACTACAGCAACATCAACTGCGTGCACCTGCCCTCCGGCCTGGGCCGCAGCTCGGCCAGCTTCGACATTGGACTGCACGAGTGCGGCACCGCCGGCAACACGGACAACTACAATCAGGGCTATGGCCACGATGCCGCCGGCAGCGCCGGTGCTGGCACCTACTTCGAGAACATCATTGTCATCCAGTACGATCCGCAGGTGCAGGAGGTGTGGGATCAGGCGCGCAAGCTGCGCTGCACCTGGCACGATCAGTACGAGAAGAGCGTGACCTTCCGCCCCTTCCCGGTGGACATGCTGGACGTGGTGCGTGCCGATTTCGCTGGCGACAATGTCGGCTGCTGGATGCAAATCCAGGTGGGCAAGGGACCGTGGGCGTCCGAGGTGTCGGGACTGGTGAAGATCGGACAAACGATGACCATGGTGTTGGCCATCAAGGACGACGACTCGAAGTTCGATATGCTGGTGCGCAACTGTGTTGCCCACGACGGCAAGCGGGCGCCCATCCAGCTGGTGGATCAGCGCGGCTGTGTCACCCGTCCCAAGCTAATGTCGCGCTTCACCAAGATCAAGAACTTCGGTGCCTCCGCCTCGGTGCTGTCGTACGCCCACTTCCAGGCCTTCAAGTTTCCCGATTCGATGGAGGTGCACTTCCAGTGCACCATACAGATCTGTCGCTACCATTGCCCGGACCAGTGCAGTGCCGAGACCAATCTCCAGGACGTTCACCATCTGCAGGTGGGACCCGAGTCCCAGTACGGACCACCGCCCCAGCTGCATGGCGACGCGTATCATGTGGCCAGTGCGATCGGCAAGCGACGGGATGAGCGACGCGTCCAGCGACGTGCTCGTGCCGTGGCCGACTCCACGGAGCAAGTGGGTCTCAATCGCATCATCAAGGTGGTCTCCTCCGGCGATCTGACCTTTGCCATTGACGAACAGGCGGCTGCCGGTGCCGGCAACAACAGCAGCACCACTTTGCCCCAGACAATGGTCTTTCCGCTGCGCGAGGAGGGACTCATTTGCATGACTACGCCGGGCTTTGCCATTACGCTGATCGTGCTGCTGGGCATTCTGGTCACATCGTGCCTAATCTCCGCCGTGTTGTACGTCCGTCTGCGACCCTTCTCCAGCTTCGCGGCCAAGGAGCGCGCCGTCGCCTTCACGAATCCACAGCTGGCCGCCGGCCCACTGCCCGTCATCCACCTGCCATCGCCGCCCGAGGCACTGGCGGGCACGCTCTCCAAGAAGCGATCGCTATCATGAGCGCAACGCGTCTCTCGTATATCGCAACCATACACAAACACTCCCACGAAATACCCCAAAAGCATTTCAGATTGCACTAGTTTAGGCCATGCAACTAGCTAATTGTCTAAAGCGTTAGTTAAATAACAATAATTACATAATGCCCGTTAACTGGGCTCACGCCCGCCTCTACCCAGGTCTCTCTCTCTCTCTCTATCTSTTTCCACAACTTGCTTACTCTTTCTCCCCCTCTCTCTCTGTCTCTCTCTCTCTCTGTTGGTGGTCGGTTAATTGAAAAACAAAACAAAAATCAGATTTAACACAATTTAAAATATATGCTCTAGTTTATTTAAGCCTAGGTTCTATTTTAAATCGGTGCTAAGCCAATGCTCACAGTTCAAATACTTATGCCCAGTCTGGCAACGCTCTTTCTCTCTGTCCGTCTCTTCCTCACTCGCTGTCTCTTCCTCTTACTGTACTGTCTGAGCTTGTTTCGTTTGCAGTTAACAGGAGCTGTTAAGCTCGCTGTTAACTTTAACATTAGCATACTCTCTCTAGGACTATTCTTAACATTTATGCTTACAATATGCTTATACCTATATACACACACACACATACATATACATACACGTGTGTACGTGCGTGCATGCGTGCGCTTGGGTGTGTGTGTGTGTGTGTGTATTTCAATTAGTCACTAAATATTTTAAGTGCTTTAAACTTAGTCTAAGCTCCGAACTTGATTCGATTTTTTGACTCCATAGATCCGTCGATCCGTCGATCCTTCGAACCTTGATTGCATCTTGTTAATTTAAAATATATTTATATTTATATACTTATTTATTGATTTATTTATTGATTTTATTTATTGATTTATCTATTGATTTATCGTACCATCTAGTTGGCACCCGCATCCCACATCCAATTTGTTTACGATGAGTATTTTTTTTTTTTTTTTTTTTACTTTTACTTTAATTGTAGAGAAGGAAACTAAGCTAACAGAAATGTTCAGTAAATCATCAATAACAAAAAAATAATAATAAAAACAAATACATATTACAAATCTAATCGAATTCCTTAGATGAATAACACAATTGCCGGAGTGTACGAGCACTTACATAACCTTCATATCAAATCATATCTATTTACTTACTTACGAAATGTACGAATTACAAATACAGCTTTGCATCTATATACGAGCAAGACCAATAAACGATAATTATAAAAAAAAAAACCACACACACACAAAGACTTGGAATATTTCATTAATTTGTTGTTTTTATATGCTCCAGTTTCAGAGATTTTTGGTCATACTATCCGTTGAAGTGTATTCAAATAAAAATGAGATCATCACTTTACAATATTTATAGAGCGTATACAACTAAACTTGCTCTATTAAATTTATTTGTCCAGCTTAATTATCGATTTTGGTATACCCACGCCCTCTTTCTCTCTCTCGTTCTCTTTTTCTTTCTCCCCCTCTCTCTGATTATCTAACTTCTGCTTCAGTCTTTCACCAGATCTTATCTCGCTCACAAATGAAAGTTTCAAAAACATTTCAAAATATTTCAAATGAATGGAAACGTTTAAGGGCCAATAAAAATGTTGATACATACAGATCGCATTCCTCCTAGTATTTCAGGTAACCTTTTGCTTATACTAGTTATCATCGAAACCTGCATAAACTTCACATTAAGTGGAGAGCATGTTGAGCGTGGAGAATGGGGCGAAAATTACTAAATTGCCTTAAGAGTAAGTATGCATATCTGTTTCAGCTCTATCGATGTTGGAAGATAGATAAATTGATAGATATTTGGATAAATAAATTGATAGGTAGACATATTTAACATATATGATATATGTATTGACAAAGAGAAACAAAGACAAATAGATTGTAGATGAATAATGCCAGGTGGGAACAAGTGAAAGTGATCCAGTCGAGACTGCTCGACTACAAGATTCCCTGAACCACTCGAAGAACTACCACTCCCATACTTTAAAACTTTCTTAATGAATACAAAAGAAAAGACAGGGAAATAGGGAGGGATTTGATGGATACTACGATATAAGGATTCTCATCAACGATCCACAATATTACTCACCACGAGCTGCAAAAAAAAAGAGGAATAAAAAGCACGCCATGATTTATCATATTTATAGTATATTTAATCTTAACTATAATTTATTATCATTTTGCCTTTAGTTCGCTACAATTTTCCGAAATTTCTCTGTTCTTTTATTCAGCTTTACGAGCGTTAATAAAAAAATTTAGTTTTATAAAGATTGTATAAATTATTTGGCCTCTACAACCGATTTTACTTTGTTGTATTTTTTGCATTATATATATTTTGTATTTTTTTTTTCTTGTTTTATTGTCTTTATTCCATTTCTCTAATAATAATTTTCTAGCTGTTTAAATAGGTAATAAATACATAAGGCCAAATTCACATAGATCAGCTATACCCAATTTTGGAATCAAATAAATGATGAATATGCCAAAAAAGTAGACCAAATCTAAATAGAGATACATATATGTACAACTGCTCTGTGTGAATTTAGATGATATATGAAAATAAAAGTTTTCGTTAAATTTCAACTAAAATTTTTGTTTTGTGTTCGCATAAAATTTGCCAAATTGACTGAAATTTGAAATATACTGTTTGAGTTTTATTTCCACAAATTTTACGCAATTCTCTCAATGGTTTAGCATAGAGTGAGATATAGATAAGATTCTTATACAGATTAAGATAAGTTAAATAAATAAATAAGTGTCCCCTAACATTAAGCATGTGCGTTGATGATCTATTTAGAAGTACGATTACATCGGGCAAAAAACTCTACTTTGTATTTGTAATATTTTTTTTTGTTATTGTTATTGCAAATTTTACGACTAAATGCACCCAATAAAAAAAAATACACATAATAAATAAATATTTTATGCAGCACCAAAAAAAAAAAAAAGTTTTGTGTGTTTGTGTGTGAGGAGCGGAACATCGAATGCAACGCTCTGGAGTTGTATCAACTGATTGTGTTTTTAGTAGTGCCTAGCTGAGATGAGGGCGACGGGTGTTCCATTCCATATTGTTTCATTAGCCTGTCTTAGTCAATTCGAATGCAGTTGTAGTTCATTTCAGCTAACTAAAACATGTGGAAGTGAACTTAGTTGTGTTTCATTCTATTTCGTTCCGCTCAGACTTCATGCGTCAAAGCATGTTGAACTAGTTCCTTGTCGTCTCTCTCGCTCTTAATTGTGGCAACCTAATGGAAGACGAAATGAAGTCTGTTCCATTCCATTCGGTATCTGCACTTTGTGACCAACTATAAAATTGAATACAGGAATGTTCTATTCCATTGGTTTCACTACATTCCATGTGCTCTATTCATTCATTTCAAAGCGTAAATCGATGCATGTTCCATTTCACATCGTTTCTTCGGTCTTAGAACTAAATGTGTGTGAAAATTTCTTTTTCTCAATTGTGAAGCTGTAACAAACTTTCGACTTATATCGATTGCTTGTTCCTTTCCAATTTGTTTTGTCTTTTTACTAGATTTCTTGCTACTCTCTCTGTCTCTTTCTTTCTTTTCTTCTAAGTGTGCTGAATTGGAATTCGAATTAGGCGCAGGTGCAAAACCTGCCAGTCAATTGGGCATTTTTCTTTGTGTTTACACAAAAAAAAAAAATACAAAAAAAAATTAATTAATTAATTACGTTGTGGGATACGATCTAGGGTATATCAAGGAAGGGGGCAAGGGTGTGGGGGCTGTCTTGGTCTCAAGTTGGGGCGCTTATCGCAATCGGCTCACTGCACCGTTTCATGGCCAGCAACGGGAGTGGGCAACGGTTGCGGCTGTTGTTGTTGCTGCTGCTGCTGCTGCTGCTGCTGTTGCAGGTGCCGCAAGCGGAAGAGTCGCAACGTCATCCAGGAGGCCAGGGTGCCCGGCACCGGCATGGGCGTGTGCTTTTCGAGCGCCTCCTTCTGCAGCTGATAGCGATAGAGCAGCGAGCCGGCAATCAGCGCCGAGACAATGGTCGCCGAGATGACCACGATGAAGAGTATGCTGAAGCCGGGCACCGGCATGCAGATGCCATAGACGACCTCCTCGCTGATCTTGCCCTGAAAGACGGTGACCGCCTCCTGCTTGGAGTCCGGCGAAAAGGCCAGATCCGCCTCGGAGATGACATCGTACAGACCGCTGACTCCGACATCGGCGCTGCGCACCTTGCGATCGGAGATGACCAGCGATCGACGACGCCGGCGACGCCGCTGACTGTCTGACGGCGACTCTGTCGTTTTAGACTCCGCGGAGCTGTTGGCAATCGGCTCGTCCAGATCGATGTGATCCTCGCGCGGCTTCTTCAGCGCCTCGGCTTGCGGCCGGTAAACGGGACGCGGCACATCGTCCAGATCCGATTTGGGCTCCAGGGAGCGTGGTCCGGCCATGGGCACGCCCATGCGCTTCTGCGCCTCCAGCTGGCGTGGCCCGTGCGGGAATTTGCCGCTCTTCTTCAAGCCCAAATAGCGTTCACCGTCGCCATCCATGCCGGTCAGATCGTCGTCGCCAAACAAATCGGAGAGATCGACCTCCTCCTCGGGATCCTCGTGCACGGGCCGTGGCTGCAGACTGCCGCTCTTCTCCTCGTACAGATCGGGGCCAGGTCCGCCCATGTTCTGCTTGTGATCGTGTATGATGTCATCGTAGAAGATGTCATGGTCCATGCCCATGGACGAGCCCATGCCCAGGCCGTGATGTATCTGGCTCTGCGAGCCATGGCCCATGCCAGCCGGCGGCATGGCCAGATCCCTGTGCAGATCGTTGTTGCTGCTGCTGCCCATCGCATCTCCAATGTGCACATCCTTGCGCTCATGAGCATTGCTAATGGCCGGGCCCAGTCCGTCGCCGGCGACCGTGTTCTGGCAGTGATCCAGGCAGCCATGCCGGCAGATCTCCACCTTGCACTTGATGTGCACGCTGAGCGCATCCGGAAACTTGAAGGCATGGAAGAAGGCATACGTAATCACCGTCGCCCGCTCGTCGGGGGCGCGCGCCTTCAGGAATC